TAGAATTAGTTATAAAATACTCTCAAATTTTTTCAGAATCATCCGAGAAAATTTTGGGATTTCGGAAAAGTCTCTGAATTGAAAATTTAAAAATTATGTCGGAAAATTTTGAAATAATTTGAGAGCGTTCTTTGTTTGTTTTTAAGACATTTCTATTCTCAGAAAAACTTTCGTAATAAACTTTCGAGTAACTTTCGAATAGAAATGTCTTAAAAACAAACAAAGAACGCTCTCAAATTATTTCAAAATTTTCCGACATAATTTTTAAATTTTCAATTCAGAGATTTTTCCGAAATCCCAAAATTTTCTCGGATGATTCTGAAAAAATTTGAGAGTATTTTATAACTAATTCTAAGACATTTTTGTTCTTTAAAAATTTTCATGAAAATCTATAGTATTCGAGAAAAAAATTTGTAAAGTTTTAGATAAATATTTTCACTTCGGCCGCCATTTAGTTTATACGAAAAATTTTCATATCCGGAGAACCATAGTAACTTGTAGTTAAAACCTCGAGACCGCGATCTATAAGGGTTTTAGGCATTAAAAAAATGCTTAGGGAACGAAAAGTCGATTTAAAAAAAAAATTAAATCAGAAAATCATGTTTTTTTTATTTATTTTTGATTTTTGGACCGTAAAAGTTTTTCAGCGACAATTTTAACCAGCATCATTGGAAAGAGGACACTCGAAAACATAAGAAACAATGGTTCCTGAATTTTTTCCACGAGAATTCATGACATGAGAATAGTTCAAACTCAGGTCTCGAAAAACCGTCCTGTGAGCGTTAATGGGTTAAGAATGACTTTTCAAAATGGTCCTGTTGTCAAATACTCATTTATGAGATTTGAATCGAAACATCAAGTTATTAGAAAAATCGTTTCTCATTCAGCATGGCATGTTAATTTCTGAAAACAATTTGTATAAGACTATTATTATCTCAAATGAAAATTCAATTAAAAACATATAACGACACTGAGATCAGTTATGGTAAAATTATAGATAACGTCATGTACAATCTTTTTCCAACGTCAAATTCGACTAAAAAACTTAAAACTATTAGTATTAATAATTCTACATATAGACAGGAGAGTATCATTGTTACAATTATTGATGATGGTGTTATTGAGTTTGGCGAAATTATTGATATTTATGTAATTGATGATAAAATATTATTTGACTACACTCCCCACATTGTTCAAGGGTTTGATCGCCATGTATTTGCGTACAGCGTTATTTCTATCAATAAAAAAAAAGAATAGATTTCGATTATCTGGCAGCATTAATTCCATGTCTAATGTTTGATCTAATGAAAACTAAATATATTATTAGTAGATACGTTTTATAATTTATTTATTATAAGCTCTGTTGTTAATGCGACATATTTGTGAACATAAAAAGTTGTATAAAAGTTTCCTTAACATTTTTTCAAATATATATTTATAATTAGAAACTTACATACTTTTAAAGAATATTATATTATTAATAAGCATTACGTCATACAGTTATGTATTGTAAAGCATTTTAATAAAAAAACTGTTGAGAAACAATTTGTTTTTCGATTTAGTTCTAACGTGAGCCCGCGCCCGGCGTCCGTCAAAATGCAAGAAGCGCAGGAGAAGAATATGCACGGAGATACGGGATGCAAATGAACACTGAAAATCAAAGTGCATACGAGCACAATTAGTATGGGTGCATGATCGGTAGTTGAGGTAGCATGCGCGCCACCTGACGAGTCTCTACTACACGCGTCACAACCTAAGTAGTCTGACTTTTCTCCGTGTAGGGAAACTTCGACTCGAAGAGTCGAGATTGAAGGAGTGATACGGGTAATCGCAGCGCAAGTTGTAGATGTGCCACCAGAAAATGCTGCAACAACAGGTCGGAGATGATGTGTCCGGTACCACCACAAGATTCTGAGTGACGGGCAAAAACCGTATAACGTGGGACGTGGCAAAGATAGATATCGCGTCTTCCCTGATGGAACGCACATAATACTTGCGCCAACAGCAGGTGCGAGGGTACATCGTAGGCGAGAAAACCAGCAGGCGAGAGCAGCAAAGGTAGAGGTAGCGAAATCGCAACCTCAGCCTCAGAACGCCAATCGCCGGCAGTTGGAGCCGACGTACCCACCACGTAAAACGTGACAGACGAGGTGAATTGTTGAACGAGATCTCGTGGTGACAATACTGGTAGAATTGGCACGGTTGAATTCTGAACAGCGTGAGGAAGTAGCGAGGAAACAACATCAGGTGTACGAGCTCACCGCCTGAGCTATAAGCCAGAACGCAGCTCCAGATAAAGCACGGGAGGACTAAGGTACCAGAGTTTGCTCACTTAACACGAAGTTTTATTGATAATTTCATTAGTTTTTAATGATTTTGTTTTGTACTATATAGTTTTGTTTGAATATACATTTATTTTTATTTGTTTTTTTTGTTTCTCTAACAACTGCAATAATAGTGAACCATATTTTGAAGTGTTCATATTATTGTTTTACTTTGATGACTATTTCCGCTTGGTCCTGTGTTCGAGCGAGAGGAGTTGCGATGGGTAACCCGCGGGTGTCAGCGACTTCCGCGAATTAGCGGAGGCTGTGCAGAGCTACAGCGAGTCCGCTGGCCCTATGTGCGGCGCAAGCGCAGCGACAGAGCGCGTATGATGACAAGGCATACATACTTATGTCGTTGTAAGACCCCGAAGAGGGAATAGTTGCGGCTGGTAGGGCGACGTCGCGAGCGAGAGCGAGAAAGAAAGAGAAAGAGATAACGACGAAGAAGTTTTGGTCTAAGAAGAATCGGGAGAGCAGAGCGCGCGTAGCGACAAAAAGAAAAGGCCATAAATTAGAAGAAACGACAGTTAAGCGCAAGTTGAAAGAGAGAAGGCCGTCTAAGAAGTGATCACGAGACAAAGCTGACGAGCTGATCACCCGGTGAGAAAATCTACATTGGGAATCCATTCATTGCCTATCGCAACGCCGTTTAATTTTTTGCCAAGGATTTCCGACACCAGAATCCGCGCTCAAGGAGTACGGGCCGCGTAATGGCTGCACCGAAGCTAGTACCTGTCATTACCAGGGCCCCGTTACCGGCCGACCTCCGTTTTCGTTAACGCCACCTCTTCGCTGACGGACCGTCGATACCTGATGGATCGCTCTTTTGAATTCTTTCTTAAATTCTCTCTCGCACCAGCTCTCACTCGATACACTGATCGCGGATTTTTCTGTAATAAACGCACACGCTGAGCGACCTCGCTCGCATGAACCTTTTGTTCGTTGATATCCAATCGCGTACGCTGAGCGAACTCGCTCGCACGAGTTCTTTTAAATTGTTGTGATCTGGGTTGAGCGATCGTACTCGACCATGTCTTTTTCTGTTATTATAAATAAGATTTTGTGTTGATTTCGACGTAATAAAGAGATCGCCTTTCGTAAAATTTGCAAGTGATTCTTGTCATCACTAATCTCTCCTGATCAGAGTGATTAGTTTGCCTGGAAAAGTCAGCGCCCGTTTTCCTTACCAATTAGAATCCTAAATAATAATCGCAGAGCCCGGTCCTTGGCATACGGTGAACGACGATCTTGCACTCATCTGTTGAAAATATATTTCCAGTTGATAAGAACTGCGAGTGATACGCGATCACAAATTCAAGTTACGTAAATTAGGTAACAAAAAAAATAGCACCGTTATGAAATTTCCAAATGGCCACAAAGATTTGAATTCCGCGCTAACAACTTTTTGAACAATATCATTTTGTAGAGCTTAAAACACCCAACTCTATCATTTTATTGAAAATTTATGATGGTATAATAATCTGAAAATTTAAGTGATTTCATAACTGTTGATAACAAGAAGATCTATCAAGTTCGAATCAAAAGGTTTGGACTTCCTTGGAATAGGGACTTTGGATCATCTCGCGATTAAACTATGAGAGATCAAAAGCAAAATTAAATGATATGACTATACGGTCTATCAAATTTCTACTAAATTTCATTGTAATTATCTTATAATAAATATGAATATTTTAACTATATGTCCGCATCGGACTAGCAACTTGTAAATTCACTTATCATGTATTTTAGGACTTGCCCTCGTACTTAATCAATGTGGCCTAGTCGTTGTACATCGACTCGAGGGGTGAAAAAAAATAAAAAATAAAATGAGGAAGAATTTAATATAGAGAATCTCCGATTGTCGATATTCAATTATGTTTGAAAAGCTGAACTTACATGTCGTTTTTCTCCGATCGCTGAAGTTCGAATATGGATGCAATTGCTAAAACCCGGAGAAAAAGGAAACAACGCTTGCAAATATTAGACTACTTGCAGATTCTACGCTTATTCTAATTCTGGAAAGTGAGACCTTACGACTTTCTCCTCGCCTCTACAACTTACTAGCGTATACAGGATATTTTTACACTTCGCTTTGCTATTGGATGAAGCGAAAAGTATCGCGCTCATCACGTCATCTAAACGTATATGACTGATTGAGAATCTAGCGCACGTGTAAGTGGGGTACTGCTCCGGCCGCGAGAACTAATGAAGGTCAGTGAACTGTAAACGTTCTAGTTCTTTCTAGTTTTGGGACTTTTGCTTTTTATGTTCTTTAGTATAATTGGGCATGAAGACTTACCGGTATCGTTGTTTTATTAGTTTTTATATGGAAATATATATTGTAAAAAAACTACACTAATTGTTCAACACCATCTAATTCATATGGGTTAAGGGACAATAAGCGTGCGATTGAGTATCATGAAGAAGAAAAATTTAAGGTATAAACTGTAATATAAGGTATAAAAAACATTTAAATATAAGTTATAATTTCATTATATAATGCAGAAAGTAACTACGACAATATCACTAGGAACAGTTTTTTCGAATTGAAATTCTTATTAAATAATATATTCTCTACAAATTTCTCTACAAATGTCTTGTTTGCAAGATAATGATTAATTGTGATATCTAGTGTACTATGTGATGAATAATAAAATGCATCATATTACATACCAATCGATGTTTCCAGAATAGCAGTCATTAGAGTTCTTATAAACTTAGTCTCTTTTAATCGTTCATTGACGTTCGTCTGTAAAAATGAAGAAATGTTTATATCTAACATATTGAATATTGAAAATGCTAGACGTGGATATTTTGCAAAGAAGAAATAAAAAATACATAGGAAAAAAATTTCGTTATATAATTCCCTGAAATAATAATATATATTAAGATCGGTTATCTTTGAAAAACATTAGTATTGCATGGTATACCTATCAGTTAGGGGTCAGGTGTTTCTCTTTCTCTTCTCTCTGTAAGTTACCTAGCATGATAACAGCTGTATTTACATGGGTTTCCGCCTACTTCCAATTCATGCATTGCAATGAATAATGTGGAGATCATAAATAGTCCGTATATTCACATTGCAGATTTTGTTTGAAGAAACTACTTGTTTACACGTTGCAGCGATTTGCAACCATGTATTTGTTGAGACTATTCATGATATATATGAAATTTTATCAGGTTTCGTGAGTGTATATTCTTTATATCATAACAAATGTTTCATTAGCTACAAAGAAGCATAAATATGATCGAAGAGAATAAAGAATGTTCGCATACAGCATCTAGTACAAAATTAAATTTTCATTTATTTATTAATTTATTTATTCCAGAAAATTATGTAATGATTACATATCACAATGTACATAAATTACTAAAATATTTGTATTCTAGCAGAGAAAGTAATTTTCTATACACTGGTCTAGAGAATAATAACAAAAAAATCGAAACTAAATCAAACTACAATTAAGAAAGAATACAGTATTGATATTTTTTATTATCCTCATCTTATCATCGCCAGATTCTGTTAAACATTTGTGTAGTTATGAAATATCTAATTTTAGCCTTCTTACCTCTTATATAAATAATTTTTTAATTATAGTTAAGCCTTACTGGACAAATTAGTCCTCTAGCACAAGTTACTGACACAAATTCGTATTGTAAAGTTGAGTTGTATTTACAAGGGAATGTGAAGACTATATCATCAACAACTACGAGGTCTTTGTGTTTTGACTGTACTTTTCAGAGATGTAAAAATTTATTTTTCTTTTAGGCCTTTACGAAAATATGGTACTTCACGTAAACAACGGTTAATGTAGTATTCAAAGATATCCCTTATTATTGTGATGCACATCTTTTAGAGCAGACTTCTCAATTACTACAGCTGTATACAATATGAATTTTGAAGATTACGCAAGTAACTAAATCACCCAAGTTTGAAATTTATTGCAGCTGAAAGTGTATTAGATAATTAACTAATGAATTGAAAAAGTGTAATAATGCGAAACTACTTTAGCAATGTTGTCGAAAAGAGCGTAGTTCCTGAAATATACGAAGTGTGATCAAAAAGTAACGAGAATTTTTTTTTTTCGCGGGTTTGGAAAATCCGATCGTCAAATTTTTTTTTTTATTATATTGGTACACACGCCCCTGAAGTATGATAAAATTTTCAGCTGGTTTCATTGTTTACTTTTTACGTGGCAGCCGCTAAGGTTAGAGGTGTTTTTGAAAGCTCGGCGAATTTTGTTTGTTAAAAAAATGGATCAAAGAACCTGTATTAAATTTTGCGTAAAAAATGAAATAAAGTGCAACAAAGTGTGTGAAATGTTAATAAAGTGATTCTACTATGAGTAAACCAAGGATTTATGAGTGGTATAAACGATTCTCAGATGGTCGTGAAAGCGTCGAAGATGATGATCGTTCTGGCGGCCCTAACACTTCAATTAATGAGGATAACGTCAAAAAGGTTAAACAAATGATTCTAGAAGATCGGCGAACCACTATCAGAGAAGTAAGTGATGATACTGGTATTTCATTTGGATCGTGTCAAGCAATTTTTAGTGAAGTTTTAGGCATGACACGTGTAGCAGACTGCATCACGATAACGCTCCCGTTCATAACGCGTTAGTTGTGCGTGAATTTTTGGCAAAAAAAAATACTGTTGTTTTACCTCAGGCACCATATTCACCGGATATGGCTCCCTGTGACTTCTTTTTATTTCCAAGATTAAAAAAAACGTTGAAAGGACAACGTTTTGACACCATTGATGAGATAAAAGAGAAATCGCTGAAGGAGCTAAGAGCTGTATCAAAAAGTGAGCTTCAAAAGTGCTTTGAAGACTGGATAAAGCGTTGGAAAAAATGTATTATATCTGGGGGGGATTACTTTGAAGGAGAAAAATTCGATATTGATGAATAAATAAATAGTTTTTCAGAAAAAAAATAATTCTCGTTACTTTTTGATCACACCACGTATGTAAGTTCAATTTTCAATTTCATAAGATTTTAAGAATGGGTTCGTTTCGTACAGGTACCAATTCCACATGATTTGATTTTAAGTTTTGATGTTTTAACTCACGAATCTTTTAATTGAATATTGTGACGGTAAACGTCAAGTTAGCGCTAACTATTTAACCTTATTGCTGTCCGTGAGGGCAGCACCTGCCGGGGGGACAGAATAGGTAACGAAGGAATTCGGCACGCGAGCAGACGGAACGCGCGCGAACGAATTTGAACTAGTGAAGCATCGACCATCATAGTGTCCGTCCGCTTACGCTATCATCCCGTCGATTCACGTGCCCGTGACATCCGTACGCTTTAATAATAACAGCAACTAGTGATCCAGGAGTGCAGCCGCCAAGGAGCCATCGAGTATCAGCTGGAGTCCAGAACGAGAAAGAGAGAGAGTGTGAGAGGTTTCGCCATCGAGGGCGAAACCAGTGCGTGCGCGCATTCGCGACTCGCGAACACCAAAACAACAATAAAACTGTTACGTGCTGTGCGAAGTATTCGTTGTTTCTCTTCGATTGCCTGCGAGTAAAAGGTAAGCTGGCCAGCTTAATTTCGCGATCGCGATTACACAAATAATAACTCGATTCTAACATTTAATGCGTGCATGTAATGGCTCTCGTAACGAAGAGCGCGAGCGTACCGGCAAAGCGTGTTGTCGATGAGCGAGCATGCATGTAAACAAACGCGCGGGCCGACCTTTTGTGAGTTTTGAGGGATAATAAAAGATCCGATTTACCTTACTAACAAGTGATTTCATTGATTCTCTCATCTCACATAGCTTCCACTCAATTTAGCTTAGGTTATAAACGATTATCGGTTGACTGACGCATATTTTCTCGTGCTCTCCCGGAATAGTAGTGAGCTTTGACGATTTACGTGTGTCCCAGTAATATAACCACGCGATATAATCATTAAACGGTCATACCCCGTTACATGGCGCCCAACGTTAAAGAACCTACGGTGTTTCTGATTGTTCAAAACACCGGTTCTTAATATTAACCTTGCGCTCGGTCAACCAGTAGCTCAGGTGGCAGTCAAGTGTTGTTGTGCGCACTCGACACCGAAAGCCACAATAGTAAACAAAGCCCGTTAGCTAGCTTGCGAAGGCCCGCTGCGGCGAAAAATTGTAAACATTGACTGTGAACGCGTGCGAGTGCGACCGAAAAATTCTCGAGCGTAAACATCAACAAATTTTGAAAGTTGCCGTAAATAATATTATACCCGTTGGCCCGGGAAAACTAACAACGGCAATTTTCAAACGAAATTAATTTAATTGAATAATTTTATTTGACATTGTCGTAACGTAAAATTTTTTTTTTAATATTATTAACTGCGGTTATTGGTGTTTAGGCACAACGCTCATTACAATATTTTAGATACTAACTCACACAGCCGTGCTAACAAACAGTTAGTACGCCTGATAGGTAGGATCATTATATTGCGTATTGACGAGCAAAGAATTTTTCGGCAATTAATCCGTAAAGCGCCCTTGATCAAGCCCAGTGCTGACAAATAAAATTTTTTTTATTTTTCAATTCGGCGCACGAACTTTAATATAACACTCGCACGCGCGTAACATACCTGTAAATTTACATAAAAGTCAACCGCAAGTAACCTAACAACAAATCATGGACCGCACTCAGACTGAAGTAGAAAATTGGGTATGGACGCTCCAGGAGGAGGAAGTAGAGGAATACCTCGACCAGCTGGAGCTCAAAACTAGCGGGAGCAAGCACTCGAGAGCTGCACGACTACACAACTGGCTACTCGGCGACTATTCCGCAACAGATTTCGCGGAAGCCGAACACCAAAACAGCAGTCCAGCCAAAAGAGCCGCCCTACGCTCGGAGCTAATTGCATCCCTATGCCAGGAACACACAGCATCCGAGCAGGAAGGAGAACACCCGCTAGCCCAGCTACTACAGAGTGCGGACGTAATATCGCGAGTTCAAAAAACCGCGATAAACATCGCGAATGCCCTGGACAGCGGAGAAAAATCAAATAGTAATAAGGAAATTACTATTACGGCTGATGATGGCAGCCAATTCAGACTCCCGCCGGCATTCGCGGTAATGGTTCAAGACCTCATTTTCCGGTGCAGGGAACATGAGAGGAAATGGGAGGTACAAGACTCACAAAATAGAAATGCGTCTGACCTAACCCAAGTAATGCAAGAAATCGTCCAGACCAACATCAGGGTGCAGGAACACATGGACAACCTAGCAACCAGGATCACGGAACTGGAGAGTGCCGTAAACAAAATTATGCGGCAAGACGAGTCGAACAGTTCCAATGAGGAACCACAACCCGAAAACACGCGTAGGAGTGTCGCATTCCAGGACACATTCACATGCCACTACGACGCAAGGCTACCCCAGAGCACTCCAGCCGGACCCGGACTGAGGCCCACGGGGGCCCCCGACAGGACCTCCCGCCGAACGCCCCCTTTTGGAGAGGGTGGACAGCATCAACTCGGTGGAGTTAATGCTGAAGTGAACAACCACCCGCCGAGCATGTGGTCATCCCAACAGACGTCAAGCCCGTTATCCACAACAAGGGACGTCGGCCGCATCGTCAGGGGATGGAAGCTCAGGTTCTCCGGAAAAGGCAACGCGAGCATCGACACCTTCTTAACGAGATTAGACAACTCGAGGAGCAGCGCTGGACTCACGGAAGACGAGATGCTCACGGCCGTCTCCGAGCTACTCGCCGGTCCTGCCCTCGTCTGGTTTGAGGCAATGCG